GAGGTAGTGGAGGGTGATGGCTGTACATAGATGGATATGACAGTGCAAACTTTTGCTAATGCGATGAATACCGAGAAATAGAGTACAACTTTAGTACCATTGGAAAGGTGAGAATAAATGAAAATTTATGATGCCGAGAACGTGAAAAACCATTGAGAAATGAATGAGATACAAGGACATGAAGATAGAAACCTGAAAACATGCAGGAAGACAGCTTCTAGAGGTCCAGAGCCCCAAATAAAATACATAAAAATATGATGTCTTCGAGGACGACCTATTATAACAATGAACAATACATATGAAGGACTAGGATACAATAATACACAGGGGAGATGGACGAAATCCACCAAAACCACTAAACTACGATGGACCATGGTGGGAATGATATACTAATGAAGCAGAGAGCTATAACACATTCGTTTGAACAATTCTTGACTACTAGCAACTTTTTCTTTCGGTTCTAAACCTGAATAATTCACTCATTTATCATTTCAAGTCTCATTTCAACTAAAATGTTACTGGATAAAAATAGCTGAAGGTCTCAGCACAGCCGTACACATGGTAATGCGAGGTTTGAATTCAGAATGACTGAGTCATAGCAAACTAAATGGTAAATAAGAGGAATTTGAAATAGAAAACTGTGACAAATGCAGTGCAGTCAAGTTCTAATTGAACCATTAAAATAGCTTGGGCAAGGAAGGACAATAAGGATTCTAGGTGCAGTCTGACTGCAGTAGAGCCACAGTTCAGCGCAGCTGAGCACAGTAGAACTATAGCGTGAAAATTTCATTTTTATTCGGTTTGAGGAAAATACACTGTAAATAAATCCTGTAAATACGAGGTAGAGCGTGAAAAAGGAAGGCAACCCAAGGAGTATAAAAGGGAGACCCTTTCTGCAACTTTTTGCCCCCCCCCCCCCCTCAGAGAAGTGAGAAAATAGAGTATTATTTTTCTCAAGCATTTCTGGTTGTCACTCCAGTGCAAAAAAGTGATATACAGTTAAGATTGCCACTGTAGTAAAAGGCAGCAATTAGGGAGAGGAATATTAAGTAAATATTTCAACAGGAGAGCTGGTTAACACTCCAGATTTCAAAGTGTAAACACAGAACAGTTTGCTACTGTTAAAACAAGCAATAAAAATAAGACAAAAATAAGACAAGGTCAAGGGACACTTCAGACACAATCTAAACCTATTAACTGAGTAGAATCTTTGGAAATTCACCAAGTAAAAGATTTAATTCAAGTTAAAATTCAAATTAAACGATCCTACACAGAATTACACCCAGACAAATTGAGAAATTACAATTGTTTTAAATATGGATCCTACATGAATGTCATCTTTTCCCTGAGCCATGACTTTGATGTCGCTCATCCCGTTATTGAATATCTCATTGATGCATGAACCCTTTATTATGAGAATTTGGGTGGATTCAGATTAAATCCCTTCCTTTCTAATGGGCCATCAAGCTCATCTCAGTCATTACTGCTTGTTCTTCACACTTAAATGTTGTCCTCATTTTCCGAGAGTTTCAGTCATATCTCCATCATCTATGGGTAGTTTTCCCTGAAATTACTTTCATTGGGTCCGTTTGGAAGACATCTACATTTCCTATTATAAACACGACGTTGGATTTTGCATTGGTTCCTAAGGAATCCTTGTTCTGTGGTACTTTCAGCCTTGGCTACATGTGTGGGCATGGGAAAGTAGTTTCCATGAAGGTTCTCTGGTTGGTTTTATAATCAAATCTTGGTCGATTGTCCTAGTTGCTTGTTCAATATTCGCTATAAATTTCCCCGAGCATTCCATCTTGTTGGTGCTAGGCTCGAAGTATTTGTATTAATTTTCTTTCTTCCGATTTATCGTATGTAGTTGTAAAAATTCATTAAAATTCGTTAAAATTCAGGTTCTTCTATTTTCTGATATCTACTTGACATATGGAGTTTTTCGTGGTTTATCTAACATGTTTCCATAATGAGTTTCCATAGGGTGACCATTATTTCTCCTACAACACTCAAGCCAACAAAATGGAGAAAATCCACAATTGGCAAGAGCCAGTAGACCACACAAGAGTCCTACGATTCCTGGGAATGGTAGAATATCTATCAATATTCATGCTGAACATCAGTGGCTACACAGGACCACTGCAAACAATCTGCTCCAACAAGGTGGACACCACTCCACCAGAAATGCTTTGACAAGATTAAACATCTCACATGCAGGGCTCCGATTCTGAAGCACATCCAGTGGAATCCACCGGAAAACCTCTCGGAAGAAGAGGAGTAAACTCCACGTCTGGGTCATAACAGATGCATGCCCAGCAGGCATGGGCACACTAATTGGACAAGGCAAAAAGTGGCAGACCTGCCACCCAGCTGCATTCATGTCCAAGAAGTTTACCAACACACAATGTAGGTACTTTGCCTACGAACTCGAGGCACTCATGAGATGGCAAGATGATCTCATGGGAGGCCATGAATTCACAGTAATCATGGATCACAAAGCTTTGGAATATTTCAAAGTGAAAAACCACAACTCAGGTAGACACCTGAGATGGCAAGCCTTCTTTGCAAGCTTTAACTGTGAAATAAAATATGTGGAAGGCCACAAGAACAAAGTGGCAGATGCACTTTTACAGTACATGACTCATCAACAGATGAGGATCTGCATTTCGATGACTACATTGTTGTGGGGACAACTCCATGTACCGCAAAAAGTCGGAGTCTGCAGAATTTGCCCACCAACATACACCACATACCCTCTGACGCTTCCATTGCTTGTCCCCACACTATCCAACACTCCATACACCCATTCCCCATTTTTCCTTATTTTCCCCATCATTCCTGACAGTCCCAAGCCAAATTCCCATGCCCAACCACACCGCCAATTTCACCCCCTCTCCAGACCTCCATAACCACACATACAACCCAGCTGTTTTTCTACCCGATAGTAATGCTATACCTTCCTCCTTTAACCACGGAGCATTTCCCAGAATGGCAACCCCATATTCGGATGGTTCAGCATGGTGTATAGCCTCACATGGTCTTGACAGCACCTGTCAACGGCCACATCTCAAGAACCACTGCACCAATTGGGACAAATAAGGGCTCGTTGGAAAGCTGGGAACGAGGAGGTTGCTGACGAGAGGATAGGCGGGCGCTGTGGCGAGGTGTTGCGGAGTTAACCTTCACAATTCCCATTTCGGATCCATTATCATATATTCTCCATTCATTCATATTCATTTTATTGTTTCTTTGTTCCCAATTGGATATTCATTATTCACGGTTGCCTAACGGCCCGTTTACATTCCCCCATGCAATTCATTCCATTTACAACTCATATAAACTAGATAATAGCTTGTACATTCCAAGTTAGTACTGAATAGACCCGTGGAGGGACAAGAAAGAGTTACATCCAAGTGGCAAAGATGCCATCCACGACCCTAACGCCCCTTCTGAGCTATTTTCTTACGTCTAAGACCCCTCTCATCATAATACTCAGCCTTGACGTCCAAGAGAGACGTAGGTGAGTGTTTGTTTGAGGTTCTAGCAGACCCGGTAGCGCCCCAGGACCAAAAACCCAAACCTCCATCACACCTGTGCACACTACCACCCTCCCCCTTCTCTCTGTCTCAAGTCTAGGTGATACACCCATTACAACGTGTCAGCAGATATCCATCTGGATAAAAATGCAGAAGACATCATCCCTGACAGAGTCAAGGAATATGAAGAACTGCTACTAAGCAGTACTCTGAGTAAAAACTCAGAGGAAAAAAGACTCACAGCAATACATGTGAGAAATACCTAGAGGAAGCTCTAGGGGGGAGAGACAACCTAGAGGAAACTCTAGGGGGGAGCGCCCAAAACCTGGAAGAAATTATAATTCCAGAAGAGAACTTTTGAAAACAATTCAAAGGAAAAGACCTCATTGAGGCAATAAAATCTGGATACATGCAAAGCCAGATCCACTGGGAAATCCTAGAGAATCCCAGGAATTTCAAAAACTTCTCCATAAAAGATGGGCTGATAACCTGACTTGGAGAAGGAGGGACGACCCAAATAGTAGTCCCAAAAAGGAACTATGAAAGGAAGTCCATTCAAGGAATAATATCCATGAAACACTTGGACACCTAGGGTCCAAAAAAACAGTGGAAACCCTCCATCAATACTTCTGGTGGAAGTCAATGAGGAAGGACACCCACAAGTTCTGCAGGTCTTGTGGAACTTGTCAGACAACAAAGAAAAGCACCAGGAGAAATCCTGGACTGCTTCACCAACTCCTGACCCCAGAAACACTGTGGTCATCAATAGCCATGGACTTCACAGGTCCATTCCCAACAAGCTTGGGATATGATTACCTCTGGGTAATCATCTGCAGGTTGACGTCCAATGTCCACCTGATTCCGATAAAAACAACAACAAACGCATTAGAACTAGCATTCCTATTCCTCTGTGAAGTTGTAAGACTTCACAGTCTACCACACTCAATCATATCAGATCGAGACTCAAAATTCACGTCAAAATTTTGGTGCGAACTACACCAAATACTCGGTGTGCAGTTGAAATTCACAACTGCACTCCATCTGCCAGGTGATGGCCAAGCAGAAAGAGTGATACAAAAAGTAGTATGGATACTACATGCGATGGTCAGACCAGATCAACGCCACTGGGCAGTGAAGCTGTCAATAGCAGAATTTGCCCTGTTTGAATTAATCTATGGCCATATGCCAAAGATGTGCCTAACAGCACCACCCTCAGACTACCTGGGAGTGAACGACTCCACCCAAAAGGTGAAGGAAAACTTCATGGCAGCACACAATGCACTAATACACAATCACACTGCCCAAACAATCCAGGCTAATAAGAAAAGATGCCTGGACCCACCTTTGAGAAAAGGCGAGCTCACATACTTATCCATGGATAAGTTGAACCTACCCAAAGGAAGGGCAGGCAAACTAAAGCCCCTGTATATAGTGCCTTATGAAATTCTGGAAACATTTCCAGAGATGTCAAACTATGTCCTCAAGTTGCCACCACAACTTGAACAACATGGAGTCCACCCAAGATTCCATGTATCTCAGCTCACACCTCATGAGCTGAACAACCAAGAAATCTTCCCAAATAGGGAAGTAAACATATTTTACGATTTTGGGGAAGACCCCAATCACAAAGCAGTAGTTCGCAAAATCTTAAACCACACATGGGTTCATAATGAACTCTGGTTTAAGGTCAAATGGGAGCTAGGGGACACCACATGGGAATGTCAGAGTACCGCGGTTCTCTGCCATTTATTCCATTCATTCTCATTCATCACTTCCTTTTTACCTCTCTCATGAGCCAAGTCATTTCTTATTTGTCAGAGGTCCTTGCCTCATGTCATTGTTTGTATGTCAGCGTATCTACACAGCCCCCACTCCCATGTCCCATATCCTTGGGCCTCATGCTGCATCCCCATAATCCCTGCTTAACTGCCCCTTATTTACCACCTGACAGCAGGGAGAGAAGTAATCTTCTTCTCTCACCCTTTTTGCTGCTCAGGTAACCCTTGTCCAACTCTTTTCCACTTTGGAATCTGTCGGATCATAATCGTTAACCTGCAGCCCTGACAGGGAACCCCTAGGAAATTGCAATGACCTCATCCACCTGGACGAGTACCTCACATTACAAAATGTGAGGGAACCAGAAAGTCTCCCTATCAAAGAAGATAGGGAACTCTCAGCATCACTATATGCCTGTCATATCCATACCAACTCTGCCCAACCTCCAACCTACTCCACCACCATTCCAGTTCACCTCTGGTTCATCCCCTCCCTCACCTCTGCCATACCCTCCAGTATACTTCCGGTCCACCTCTGCCTCCAATCTCCGGTACCATCTCCAGTACCCCTTATCCTAACCATGGAAGGTTATTAATATTCCTACCTACCCAACATTACTACAGACCTCCTAGGACCTCCACCAACCCTGCAAGTGGGTAAGTCCATCTTGGGTTTTCCCTTTGTTCCTATTTGTCTTGTATTATGTATATAAGTCATGTACTGTAGTTGATGGCACCTTAGTGCAAAATCGATGACAATGACTATTCCCCCAGAGTTCATGCCCCCTCATTCTGAAGTTAAGGACCCAACACTAAGTGTTACTGTAGGCACAGCGCTCCCCACTGAGTCGCTGAGGCCATGGTCCTTCCACTCATCCTCTACCTCCAGCCTCCCTTCTGGGGAAAGGTCCAGGCATGCTTGCTCCCTCCTTGCCGTGTCCTGACAATGTGTCAGGGCACACCCGCCTGACCCGGCTCCACCCACCTTCACCCAGTACCCCACCCACCTCTGCCCCTCACCCTTCACCTTTCTCACTTCTTCCTCTTCCTTTGTCCTTCTGTTCTTTTGCTCTCTTGCCCTTTCTTCTATCTTTATCTACATGGACGACATTTCCCCTTATCTATGTATTATCAACCCACCCACGATGCATGCACGACGCACCCAGCCCCGGATGACCCGGACAGCCTCACGGTGCAACCCAGCATGCACACGTGCAGCACACACCCTCGGGATCCCCCACGGGGACACCCGGATGACTGCGGCTGTATGCAGGGTGACGTGGCAAACCTCATGTGACCCAAGCTGCATGTACATAAAAGTACCTGGGGTGGGAACCGAAGAAGTAACCTTCTTCTCACGATTCCCACTTCAGTCTGAGTGGCCAGGGATCGTCGTCCCAGATCGGGCCCATCAGTATGCACACCCGCTCTACACCTCACAACGGCCTCAGTGCCGGGTGTTACACCCGGACCCCCTCGACCCCGGACGTGTCCCTGACACAATGCCCCCAAAAACAGAGATGGAAAAAGTGAAGCTGAGGGGTGATTGCCCACAGCCAAGAGCGTGGGAAGGGTCTGGGCAAGTAACTCCCCTGGACAGCCACATGTGCTACACACTTGCAGCAAATCCCATGCATGCAAGAACCTAAAACCCTCCCACCACCATGAGAAACAAAATGACAAAATGACATTCTCTGGGGGAGGCAACCCTTGATACAATCCAAACAAGCTGCTGGATATCGAGATACAACAACCTGAGGAGCAAGGCTCCTTGGAACCTGGACAAGGAGCTGCTGTCACTCCCTCATCTCACTCCTTCATCTCTTTCAACTCCTGATGGAATTGACCTGTCTGAGCAGCTACCGCTGATGCGATGGCTGATTCCCAGCCTACATTTGGCTGGGGTGTTGTTGGACCTGGGCCAAATTGGCCATGATTTGGCCAGGGAGGTTCCCTAGGGAGTATGCCTAGGGCTGCAGCAGCAATTGCTGCCCCTGGAATGGCACTTGTTGCGCCATTGGTGCAGTGTGCACTGCATATGGTTGGAAGCCCCTTTGAGGAGGCTGGGGTATGCGGTGCCAATTGGCATTGCAGAAGGTTGTTGGTTTGTGGCACTCATTTGTGCCACATGTGTCGTATAGTCCATGATGCTTATCTGTGCCTGGTGTTGTTGTTCACAGACCTTCGATGCATGCTATTGGGAGCGTAAAACCGAAGTAACTCATCACACGAAACCCCCCTCCTCCAATGTCTTCGACAAGACCACTACCGCTTCTCGCTCCGACCCCATTCCTTCCTCCTCCTCATTCAACTCCACTTCCAGTAGCAAGCCTCCAAAGGACAACAAAAAGTCCGAGGCCAGCTCCGCTAAGCTGGATCTTTCGTCAAAACTCGGAGACAACAGCAAGCTCATGCCACAAGAGCATAAGCGTCGTCTCGACAAGAAACTTTGCATGTTCTGCAGTCAGTCTGGCCATATGGTCAAGGACTGCCCCAAGTCTTCTTCTCGCACATCTAAGGCCCATACAGCCCAGACCGAGGAGCAAGGATCTGCTTCTGCAGAGGCAAAAAATTAGTCTGCACCCCCGTGGACTCCGCATGGACTGGGGGTTGCAATTCTTCCCTCCATGCACTCAAAGAAGTACGCTTAAATGCATCTTCCATCTCCGACTTATCCTCCCTCCACATCCCCATTTCTTTTTCTCTTTCTGATGGTCTATTTTCTCCTCTTAATGTTGACCCTTCGGTTGATGTTCTACCCATTGTAGATAGTGTTGCTGATGTATCACTCTCTCCTCCTCCACCTCCTCCTGCTTCCGTAGATCGTTCCACCTCTCTCCGCTTCTCTTCTCTCTCTTCTCCTGTTTCTTCCTCTCCATCTGATGTAAGGACAAAAAATAAACTCTTCCACACCTATGAGAATGTTCCTGCACTCATAGACTCTGGGTCTTCGGACTGCTTCATCAACAACGCATTCATGAAGAAGCTGGTCCTGAAGACATATCAGATTAAACCTCTACAACTATGCCTTTTTGATGGTTGCACTAACTCAATCATAACCCACACCGTTGATATTCCTCTCCACTTCGCTTCCAGAAACATCACCCCCACGACTTTCTTTGTCACATTGCTGGATGGATCTTGTTCTCTAGTCCTAGGACACAACTGGCTTACCCGCTACAATCCATTGATTGACTGGGTCTCAAGCAGTATTATGTTCCGAACTTCTGAACCTACCAAGACAGTTACTCTGAGCTCTCCCCCATCATCTCTGGCACCACTGCCGTCGTCCGACATCCAACCATCTGATGTTCTGCTAGCACCTCAGTCCCAGGCTCCCTTTCCTCCATTACCATCTATCGAGTTCGTCAGCCATTCTGCATTTGCAAACGCTTGTCGACTCGAAGGATCGGTATCCTTCAGCCTAACCATCCCTTCCGAGGACAGCCACTTGAGGGCTGCCTCATCCCACACTGATTCCATTGACCTTTCGGCTGTTCCGAAGGAGTACCACGAGTTTGCAGATGTGTTCAGTAAGAGCAAAGCCTCGATGCTAGCACCGCACCATGAGCATGACCTAAAGATCGACCTTGAGGAAGGCACTTCACCACCCTTGGGAACTATGTATTCCCTCTCTACTTCGGAACTCGAGGCTCTCCAGACATTCTTAGATGAACACCTAGCCTCCAGGTTCATTTGCCTGCTACTTCCGCTCACATGGCACTGGTCCTAAAAAGGATGGGTCCCTCCATCTTTGTGTTGACTTCTGAGGGCTGAATAAGATCACCAAGAAAGATCGCTACCCACTTCCCCGCATCTCAGACCTCCTTGACGCACCTAGCCGTGCCACTGTCTATACCAGACTCAACCTCTGGCATGCTTACCACCTGGTTTGCATTGCAGCAGGTGACGAGTGGAAGACTTCCTTCCGCACGTGCTATGGTTCCTACGAGTGGCTCGTCATGCCATTCGGTCTTGTTAGAGACCGGAGCGAGACGAAGGAGTTGTCTCCATGGCGGAGGGCTTCAGCCTCAGCGACTCAGACCAGGAGCACTGTGCCAAGTTGTTAGAACCAGGCAGATTCAAACGACTCCGGAGTGGAATCGGAGACTTAGCATGGAAGGACCTCGGCCTCAGCGACTCAGGCGGAGCGCTGTGCCATTGCTGGTTGTCCTGGGGGTCCCTAATTTCGGATCTAGCAGAGGGAAAGTCTCTTGGGGGGAATTCAGGTCGATTTCGGACTGAGGTTACAAGTTACTAGGTACATTGTATATAAGGAGGGGTCCAGAATCAAAAGGAACAAGGGTAGGACGAAAGGAGACAAAGGGAGATGGAAAGAGGAACAACACCGAGGGTCAAGGGTTTGACTCAATGGTGTTTCTCAAAGGAGGAATGAAGGGCCAAGGCCCAAGGAGGAAGGAAGGAGGATGGGAGTGGGGAATGGCCAGCTGACTGAATAGAAAGGAAGCAGCAGCCCAAATAGGAATGAGGGAGTATAGTGGAATTGAATGGAACAATGCAATAGTTGCAAGGTCCGACATAAGTCCAGAAAGTCCAGACTTGGAAGTTAACCTCCGGAATATTGGCAAACATAATTAAATGGAATGAGCTAACCAATACAATGGGTATAAGCGGAGGTGGGGTCAAAGTCCGAGGTTGGAGCTAAGACCGAAGGTTCCGGAGACAGAGACACGAAACGGGATTCCGGAGCAGAGGTCCGGAGTCAGGGGAATAGGTGTTGTGTGCTTGTCTGGGAGGTGTTGAGGTTGAGGTCGGACCTGGGATGTTCCAGAGTCGGACCAAAGGTGGTGTCGGAGCCGGAGGTGGGATAACCTCTTGGAAGTCGGCAAGAAGAAGGTGACAGAAGGGAAGTAGGGCTCCGGAATCAGTTTCGGAGTTCCGGGAGCCCGGAGCAGAGGTCGGGATTGTATGGATATGACACAAGTTACACGTCCGTGCCCTAATTTACTTACTGGCAATGAGAACTAAAGGGGGATCAACTCTAGTCAATTTTATCACTAGGGTGTAACCTATGTACAAGTTAAGTATATATATGAATATTACTGACAAGTCGGGTTACGGGGTTAGCAGAATGGCAGGCGATAACCCAGAAATGGAAAGGAGGGATAGGCCCAAAGGTGGACTTGCAGGGCAAGCAAGTGAATTGCCCAGCAGAGGCGGGAGTGCGCTAGTGGACGTTGGAGCTGTCCAGAAGCCTTTGGGGCTCCATACTTAGGGAGGCATAGGTAATATATTGAAAAGAGGGGGTGGTGACCATCAAGGGAGGTGGAGGTGATTGCGGAATACAGGAGCTCCGAGGTTAGTGAAGGAGTGGAGGTAGTATGGAAGGATTGGAGGTGGTGGAAGATGATGGCTG